GTCTTTAGGGACCGAGACTGATGAATATGAATGGCCGGTGAGGTTGTGGCTCACTGGAGGAGAGAGAGAAGGGTGAAGGGGTTCAGAGGAAGTGTTTTGTGTCTCTACACAATGGGCCGATGACCTCTTAAGTCCTTTAGAGTCTCTCTGTTAATACCTTCACCCGGACCTTCAAAGGCCCAAGAGAAGCCATTTCAACACTCGCATTTTAAAAGTATGAGCAGTTTACCAGGAGTAAACACGGACGGATGAAAAGCATCTGTCACCAGCTAAGAGCCCCATGAGAATGAGGGATCACTAAGGCAACCCAAACAATATTCATTCAAAATAACCAAAAGGGGGCTGCTAATTTAGGGAAGACACCAGCAGCTGCTGAAGAAAATGTACAAATATTTCTGAGGCCATGTGACAAATGAAAACCTACATACCTTTTAGGAAGGGTTTAAAAATTTCAATATAATATCTAAAAATTCTAAGAAATTAATGTTTGCCACTTGGTCTCTTTTGAGGGTCTCCTATTTGCTGTGTTTCATGAAAAACACTGAATTATCAAAACCAGGAACTTGCCCATTTTGTACTTTTTATAGCTCAGTTGGCCTTGTTTATAAGATTGCTACTTTGCACAAGGACACGCTACTTTGAAACCTTTTGGTCTGAAATAAAATGAGGATTTTTTCTGAACAAAAGCAAACTGCATAGTACATAATCAGAGCACTGTAGATTCAAGACATGCCATTTTTAATACAAAAAATATTTGTAAAACATCTAACTGAATCTTGACCTTAGAACTGAAAATCATATCTGAAAATATATGCACCTATTAGCGTAATGGCACTATAAAAACAAAGCAGAAGTAAGAGGTCAGCCACCTCTCAGTATGTAAGGGGTCACCAAACAGCAGGATGTGCTAGTCACCCCGCAGGAGGACTTTCTCTTGGCAGAGATCATTCTTCTGACACCCCATGTCTCTTGAGACAGTTCCAGCACTGCTGGACCAGCCCTTCAGGGTTTTTTCAGGAACAGGCTGTGGGACAGTGGACTTCGACCCCTAAAGGCCCCCCAATTTCTCTTCCCTTTTGTTTGTGGGGGCTGTGCCACTTCCAGACCGTGTCTTGCCCCTGTTGTATGGCCCTCCATATTCTTACATACAAGCCCTGTGGTATGCCCTTCCCGTGTGTACAAGCTTGCATACTTTATACCCTGGCAAAGATCCACTAAGACATGAACAATGGCACCCTTTCACATAGGTCGGGTACTGGCTGGGAGAGGACCGAGGGCCTAAAACCCGGTCAATATTTGTATGCAAGTTTTTTTGTTTTTTTTTTAATTGAAGAATCGAAGCGGAACCAAGCAGCAGGGAGCCAGGAGCGACTGAAGAGGGAAAAGCAGGATAAACAGGGGGAACAATGCTAACCGAGTGCCATACAATACCACCAAGCAGCTATCACAACATCAACTGGCCACAAACCGCAAGAAAAGAGGGGGCTTTGTGTTCTAAGTGGAGATTAAGACTGAGCCGGTACATAAAGGAAAACATTTGAGGTCATTTTGCATAGCGCTTAACTAAGGATGTGCATCAGCTGGGGGTTATGAGGTGGAAAAGAGGGGGCTTTTCAAGAAATCCATCACATTTCACATTTCTGTAGAGGGCAGATAAAGACAGGGAAAGTGCTGAATTAGACCCTTCAGAGAAAGTGTACGTCACATGCGTTTCCAAACTAGCTGTGGCACTCTTGCAGACCAAGAATTAAGCAAGTTTGCAAAATTTGAAAGGAAAAGTGTTTCCCATCTGTTAGGCAAAGCTTTGAAAGGCATTATCTGAGATTAAAACAGCACCACGGAAAAGGTTCTGCTCTCCAGAGATCCCTCTCCCCAGCTGTTGAGTACTTAGACCTATTCCATGGATCTCTTTGATGGGTTGAGGTATCAGCTTCCATGGCACCACATACACAAACAGCCAGGAGATTAAGAGTGGAATTCAATACCGATTCTCAACAGATCCATCCTATCAGCAACAAATAAACAGCTCTCATTTTCAACGTGTGCCGATTTCCTTAAGAAAACATTCCACCTAATTGCCTAACAACTAACAAATACACTAACAATACATTATTTCATCTGGTGGTATCCAAGCATAAACTATTTCTTTCACAAACTGTGAAGGAAAATGTAAATAAAGAAAAGAAGGAATAGCAATCTCTATTTCTGAACACAATATCTCAGAGAGAACACATTTTAACCTAAGAAGTTGCTAATCTAAATAAGAACTAGAAGACATTTAAGAAAAAGGTGCCAACTCGAATTAACCTGCTTTGTTATTGCAAGTGGCCTGGCTGTATTTTCAAAAAGCTGAAACCCAGTGAAGCCTGAGAGACCCAATGTAAAAACTTGCATGTGAATGGCTGAGCTTCTAAACTCTAAAACTATAGGAGCAGTTTGTTTCTAAATCCCCTGAAGAATTTCTATACACTAGACTAGAGTGAAAACAGTGGCAGTTACCACAAAGCTGTTTTTTTCTACAGCACATGACTCCCATGTTTATGGAATGCACATTAGGACCAAGATTTCTCTTTTGTATTTATTTTTGGGTTGGATTTGTGTGTTTAGACAAGCTACCAGCTTGTGGTCATTTTCTAAAAAGCAAAGAAACCAGAAGGAGACCAGATTCCATGTGTTTAGACTTAAGTATAGAGGAAATATTTTATCACTTCGGGTTTTGTGCACATATTAATAATGATAACACAAACATACACTTCATTTGAAATGTGGTCTTTGAGGGCCTAATTGAAATGTTATTATACCTTTAATCATTAAAGAAAAGCACTAGTCCTTGACGTATAATTACACAATTTAAAACTGCAATTAAATTCATTACAATGTATGCGATCACATTCTGCCACCAACTGATGCACTAGCATTTCACAGCATGCCCGGCTAAAGCTTGGATTTGATCTGTTTCTAACACTCTTTCTATAGCCTGCAATTTCTGCACATTAATGAGCTACATTCAAAGGAGGAGATGCAGCTGCTGTAGAGCAAAAGGACTACGAGATCCAAGACTTTTCATCTGAAAGGCTAAATAACTACCCAATAAAACACAACTCTTTGATATGCTCAGGAAATGAATGCTCAAAATGCATCTATCATCTTTGTAACAAGACTACTTCAACTGTAAGGTCAACGTTATTGAGATGAGTTTAAAGGCCTGGTGCGTAGAAGCAGCATTAGAGACAGTCGATCTCTTTGGTAATGAAAACTGCAGAGAAAGTGACTTGTTTTGAGGGACATTATAACCACAATCGGGGCCTCAAGGTCATGACTGACAGTGCTGCTACATTATACAGCATGGCCAGATTTGGATTAGGCCACTGAGTGAGTGCATGAATGCGAATGAGAGACACTCATTTAGAGTAACTCATTTATTTACCAGAGGGGCCTCATTCTGCCTGGACAAAACCCAGGCAGGGTGCCTCTGACACAGACACATACAGTACCCCCACACAGGCCTAGCCCAGCCTCACAGGCAGTGCGCGCCCTGGGGCTGCACCCTAACCGGAGCCCAGCACAGCCCCGTTTATAGTTAACGTGGGCCCAGCGCTGTTAGCAGTGAATGTGTGAGCTCGGCATGCGCTTCCCTCTCATGAGCATGCCCCCGGCTGGGCAGCAGGCCCTGCTGAAGGCCACTCCGAGCCTCGGCCATTGTGCTAGCTCTGCATGGGGCTGGGGCACAGGGCACAGAGAAAGCCCCATGGCAACTGAGCAAGGAGAACGGGGAATGGGGAAGAGTTCATTTTCAGAGACAAACCATGGTCCCCTCCAAAGAACACAGGACACTACGCCTGCCATTTTAAACATGTTCTCAGGGTCGAACTGTTGTACCGGAGATCCACCGTAGTAGGGGGTCATCGTAAAACGACAAGACGCCTAAGAGTTTAACAATCTACTCGTATACCTACGCGTATATTCAAGGAACAGCACATTCAGCTGAAAATTAGGCCGATAAGAAAAGAAATTTTCAGTACAGTAGAAGCTCAGTCTCTACTGAGTATGTTCTTTTTTCCTGACGTAACTTCAGAGGATTCTAAATCATGAAAGCACACAGCTCTGATCTGATCAAGACTGCATGGCTGGAGAGATTTTCTTAGACTTTTAGGCTTCTTTTGAGGTTCCACAGACACATGCACACTATAAACCACTCTATAATTCAGAAGGGTACGACAAAATCCCACCCGAAGCCACAAGGAACACAAAACCTGACCAAGTGCCAAATAAACAGCACCAACAGACAAGGTCTACCACAGGTTATTAATAGAAATGAATGAGACAAGTACTTATTTAGCTTCATAAATATGATCTTATATAAGCTTGACAAAATCTGTGAGCTGATTCTCAAAGAAAACCATAAAACAACACGGTTTTAAAGTACAAGGGCTTGAGACCAGAGAGACCTCTGACAGGTGTGTTTATTAATATTCATCCTTAACATTAAAACGGCACTTATATTTGAATGAAACAATGTTTTGGCATTACACAGATCTAATCAAGCACTTTTATTTGACATGTTTAACTATTTTTGCCATAAATATCACTTATGCTCCTCTGGTTTCAAGCCCTTGTTATATTACCAAGGTAATAATGTACACGGACTACACCTGATAGCAGGACACTGGCTAATTCATAGAAGTCCATTGAAAGAATCAGCTCAGAATCTTTGACTACTAGTCTAACCTTGGATGGAGTCTCTGTAAGTTCTCCACCTCAACCGTGCCGTAAAACATGTTTCTTAGGGTCAGTGTGCTAATAATAATAAGTCATGGCCTCTATGCACACATTTAGGCATAAATGCACAGCACAGAGGGTCCCTTCAAACCTCTCCTGATAACTATCACAGGAGCCCATAAGCGTAGGTATCAGGGTAAATCTAGAAGTGGTTTTAGATGACACACTGGGCGGAATAGGGGGCTTGCGCCATGCTGATGGACACTCCTGTGGTCACTCACCTCGGATTTGTGCGATTCCAGTAGACGGCATAGCGATCCGCCACCACCTTGGAGGCAGGCTCCTGACCCAGCACGCACATCCACAGGAGGAGGACGAGAAAGAGCAGCACTCCCACCTGCGGCATCGCTCAAAGTCTCACTCTCAGTCCCGCTTACGGCGCTTAGGCTACGGCTGGACCTCAGGCTCGAGCAGGCAAAACAAACGCCAAGCCAAACTCACATCGGTGGCCCTTTTAACCCGGGCTTTTTATTCAGTACCTCCACGTGCGAAGCGGCTTCTATCACTAAACAGCCGCATAAAATCGCTCCCTCCCGCTGTGAGAGATGACAAAACCTCCAGCAGCGTCTGTAGCGCCACAACCAGCTAAGTCAGAATGGAGAACGGATGAGGAAGATGTTGGATTAAAATGATTTAGTGTTGCTTTTTTCACTGTATAGTCCCGTATGAGTGGCGGCGCATCCCTCCTCGATCAGCGCAGCTCACTGCACAAACACGAACATTTCACTATCCAGACCAAAAACTGTCGCTTTATTCTTTTTTCCGCGTTCCAGCGTCGTGAAGGCCAACCGGCAAAGTTTTCTCGCGGATTTAAACACTCTCCTGTCCAAACTGGTCTGAGGAGAATAAAATGCTGGAACTGAAGAGGTTGTTGCTGAATTAGTTTTGCTCTGTCCGTCCCAAGCTGAATACCTGCTCCGTCTCTCCGTCTTCAAACTGTCAGCGCTCTCGGAGCTGGAGAAAACGGACAGAAGTGACCGCGCACCACTCACGGCGAACTGTACCTTCAGTTAGTCACCGACCCCAGTTAATGTGTGGAAATTAAACGGGTTAAACTGCCGGTGCCTGAACGAGGCGCTGTAACCTGGACGGTTTAGCCGGTAGAGTTGGTCTGAGTGAAGCCGCGCTTTCTCCGCACAAGCCGACTGACTTTCCAGCCATGAAGTGAGTGAGCGCTGCTGCTCAGACTCGCAGGCTGGTTCCACAGCTCCGCCCCCCGGAGGAAACCAGCCAGTCTCTGAGGCTGAACAGCCCGCACGCGCTGAAGGCGCGATCGAAATGTGCACGTGATCAAATGTTTTCGTGTAGTCATGACAACTGGAGCATTTTTGAAATCGTTTATTTAAAAAAAATACATATTAAAAAAAATAAAAAAAATAAAATAAAATATATATATATATATATATATATATATATATATATATATATATGCATAAAAGGTTGGCTTGCCTCAAATGATCATGTGACCAAGTTGCAACTGGTCATTTTTGAAAAGTGTTTATTTTATATATTATTTTTCTTATACAATTCGTTACTTAGCATTTTTATTGTTTAGCTTGGCACCTCTTCCTTCGTTTCCTCAAAGGCTGGATCACTAGACACAAGTTTATGTCACTGCTGTGGTAGTGAATCCTGCAAGGCATCACAATCGCTGTGTTTTTACATGACTCTTAGGAATTTGAGTAGGAAAGTGCAGAGAATAAAAGGTGCTAAAATTTTGCAATAGATTTTGGTCAGTCAGTGCTAGTCAGTGCTACAGTTCCCAGCTATCGTCAGATATTTTCTCTGTGGAAATAAATGAAGAAAGTTTAGGGAAACTAAACTGATGCAACCTAGCTAGCTAATGCTAATGCTAATGCTTCTCTCTCTGACTGAACACAAGAACCTTTAACCTTCAGTTAAAATAAATCACTAGGACTACTGCTAGGGTGACACCGTGTCCATAACTAAAAGTGAGTGCCCAAGTCATACTAGCATATTTGATTTTTAAGAGTTGATAAGGATCCACATGTACCTTCAGAGCTGGGAAACAAGAAGTTTCCAAACTCAGTGAAAAACTGGGAGCAGTCTTGGGGTCCTCCCACATAAAATATGTATGGGAATTGCAAAATAACAACAGCATTATTGTGTTAAATGCTAAACAAAAAGTTAAAATATAACGGTTGGCCAAAAAGGAGAGAGAGAGAGAGAGAGAGAGAGAGAGAGACATTTGACAATAACATTTTCCAAGGGGCGTGGCCACGTAGTTGTTGTTAAGGGGGCGTGGTCTTTCACGCGATTGGGTAAAATGGATGTGCTGACGGAGGTTGAACTAAACTGATTTTTCTCTATTTATCAAACGACCAGACTCATGCTTTGCAGATTCACCGTCAAGGGGCTTTGGGGGGCGTATGGTTAACAAAACAAAACCAGAATGAGGCTCCTATACCTTACTCACAATTCAGTACACAGCTAAAATCCTATCAAGTGAGTAAACCGTTCAGTTACTCAAATAACAATAAAATATTCATAGGCTACATTTGTTAGTAAATTAATTTGCGGACGTTGCGTGCGAAATATGGCAGAATACGTTCAGAATTCCCTCATATTAATAACGCTAATAGTACAGAATGATAGTCTCATAACACTGTCATTTTGCTGGAGGCTCCTAACAGTTTTAAAGACCACTGGAAGTGACATCTCGAGTGTGTTTGCCATGTGGTAAAGCCCCAACACGCCCCTCAGTGGAACGAGGGAAAAATACTTCAAACTGCTACTCTCTCTCTCTCTCTCTCTCTCTCTCTCACACACACACACACACAAACACACACACACACACACACACACATACACACACACACACACACACACACACACACACACACTCTGCAGAATAAGGAGCATAGTAATATCATGTTATAAGCATGTCTACTGTGTCTTATTGCTTAATGTACATTAAAAAGAAGTCAGTGATCTCATACTGTGTTTGTTTGGACTGGCTGCTCTGGAAATGGGACATCCTGCATAATATGTCCCACCAGCACCCCCAGTAGACTAATCCGTAACCGATACTGTCTATCGTCCGCCAGACAACGGAGTCTTTTTTAAATTAGAGACAAAGGAGCCTTAATGTACACTTGTAATCACACATGCACACACACACACACACACACAGACTGAGACTGGAGGTGGAGATTGGGTTTGGGAAATAAAGGAGATTATGGGCAGATTAAAACTGTTCGTGCGTTTACTGCAATATTGATGTACAACAAAAGCAGTTGTCATCAGACACCCAGTGCGTTTGTACTGTAAAGGACGTTGGCGTCCTTCCTCCAGATCCTCATTCCATTAGTGAGGGATAAGCTGTGGGTAATCACATAATAACTGCACAATTTGAGCACCAAAATCCTTGAATACATTTCACATCCCTCTGATAAGCTTCTTCGAGAGAAAATATGCTCTCTAAAGCAATTCTCTGATTATTCTTGCACTGGGGCGAAAATTACATATGAGATCTATCCCTTAATAAGAGAATTCACACACATATTCAAGTGTGCCTGGAAAGTCCAGCAAGACATCCATGCAGACCCAATTCAATCCGATATTATTTGTAATAATTTAAGAAAAATAAGCATGCCCCAGTTTTTCCACTTCAAAAAAAGTGTGTTTTGTGAAGCTGCTAAATTGCAGTTCTGGTTTTGGAGAGTTGAAAACCAGACGAAACCATGTTCAGTGCTTTCTCCTCTCTTCCCAGTTCTTCAGCTCCACATGCTGAATGTCCCTGCGCTGTTCAGCTTACAGTGCTCCCTGCTGAACAAGCCCCTTCTGGCAAAATAAATGTTTATCTCTGGCCTGGCAAAACCATTTATGTGTCTGTATCTTAGCGAGCAGAACCTCTAATGTGAGTGACTCCAGCTGGATCCATGAGCTTTCATGTGGAACTGGAACGTGTGCATGAGGCAGCAGGGCATCAGAGACGAAAGAGCAGAGTTCAGCAGTGTCACTAGAGAGCGAGAGAGAGAGACAGAGAGAGCAAGAGACAGGAAGTGATGGATGGAGGCTCTGCTTAGGTCACTGAAGGCATGAGAGTGTGGAGGAGTTCGGCTCGGTTTAATCATTGATTAGTTAGACATGTTCCATGTGATCACTGATAATCGCTGATCCAGACTGTGATAAGGTCTCCGCAGGAAGATCGCAACCATGTCTTTGTAATTGTGAATGCAAGAAGCATCAGTACAAAATGGATTAAAAACAGCTTTAGCAATAAAGATACTTTGAAGTGAACTAGAAAATACAGTCCTGTAAAGACATCTGGTTAAATCCTTAAATTCTCAGATTTATTACATCCTAAGGCATTATTTAGCAGTTACAGGGAAAACAGAGCAAAACAAGTGAGGAATGGAAGTCTGGATCTGTCAGAGGCCCCTGGTTGCTTAAGGAGTTGAATATAATAGCATTCACATAAAAAACAGTGGTGGCCATGATTATTGGGTAGTAACACTGCATGTAATCTGGGTTACATAATCTGATTAGAAAAATCAAGTACTTTATGTTTTAGTACCTTAGTATCTATTTGAAATGAGATGTAATCAGATTTCAGTAACTTTTTCATTTATTTTTAATTTGCTTAACAGTGCCCAAACTTGCATAATAACTTGGCATGCACAGTTGTATCAGAATCGTACAGCTATTGACAGATAACTGCTTAAAAAATATTGACAGAATTGGGCAGATGTTTACATTTGAGTGATATTTTATATAAAACATTAATGTATGTATTTGTTGTACTCCAGAAAAGCAGAATGTTTAAGTAATGCTGGACTGCTATGCTAAAATATCGGCATTTTAGTCATTTTACTACATTTATAACCTTCTAGGAATAAATGTTACATTTCTCCATAATACTAATCCAGGTTGACATACTCCCAGTTTCTACAGTTTCTAAACATTCATGTGTCAACATCAGCATCAGTAGATACGTGCACGAAATCTATTGGATTCAGCATTGGCCACAATCCCCATATTGCTGCATCCCTAATAATAAATATGTCATTATGACTATAGTATTAACAATAATTAAATGTGGTTTAGGGAGAAAGAAGAAAGGAAAGGATATTAAGATGGTATCTTCAGATGCTTCAAACGTTATAGAACCAATTTACCAATTAGGAAACCAAATAAACCAGTTCAACCATCATAAGAAATCCAAAAATAATCCTAAAGATGATCATACTCATCTGAAAGATTATGTTCCTCATAACATTTCAGTCATCTAATTTATAATCAGTACCCAATTGCATTTCTTTATTAATCTACGTTTTTAGTTTATCTCTAGGTTGATGTGCTAGATGCTGATAATATGCTCTGCCCAGCTGTTTTGTCATGTGTTTTTGTTGTATGCATCTCATGGACCTGGCTTGTTAAGTTTAGTAGGCTGAAGGTTCTCCATGAGGGAGAGCTATTAGTGCTCAAATAGCTTTTGTATACATTATTAGAAAGGAACAACTTGCATAAATAATTGTTCGGGAAGCAATTGACGTTATGATATGAGGAACATTCCTTACGTCAGCTAGATTGTGGATGACCACAGACAAAAATCAGCAGGATTGCTGTGGAAAAGTGGAACTTAGCATCAGTGAAACAGTATGAATAGGGCAAGGCGAGTCCAGTATGAGACTGGACCACTTTATTAGAGTGATGAAAAATGGTACTGCCCATACAGTTGGCAAAACCACAGCAGACACTGCTCGCCATACACTGCCAATTACCAGCGTCACCTCACTGAATGTGATATCAAAGACCATGATGACTTATCAAATGCAGTGGTATATAACACTAACTGGGTGCCTTAATAAACAGTCACCTAAACTGCAGTGGAAAATGAATTGTGCATCTCCTCTAGAATGCGAAGAAAAGATCTTATTTCATGCAGGATAATGAGGTGATAAAGACTTTTAATAACTAATAATGCAAGAGGTTATTTTCAGACTGCTGGAGATAATTTTACTCTGTCTGCTCAGAGACGGAGCCCGAGGGCCTTGCAGAGTAGCACTAAGCCAGTGTCTGACTCACACCACTTGGACTTGTACAAACACATCTGATTTATTTTTGGTGACTGTGTGTGTGGCACCCCCCGCTGACCTCTCTTATCTTTAGGTGACCCCTGGTTCACACACATAAGGCATCTTCTTCTTACA